AATAAGCCTAGATTTGCTAATGGCCTTGCTATAAATGGCTGTGACAATTCTACCCAACGTCTGCCAGTCTAAAAGCCTGCTTTCAGTTGTCATGCTTCAACCACCTGGCTGAGACTTCGTTCCAAAACTGAACTTCCTGACATCTACCCTTTTCTGCAGCCTCTAGATAAGGTTACTGCCTCATAGGACAAATGTCATTCTCTGCTTAAAGAGGAAGTCTGAGAAGTGCAAACATCTCTTACATTCAGTTGAACTCACCAACCCTTCTCAGCTGCCCTTGTTCACCTGGTAATGTGATGTGTAAATCAACAATGCCCCATAAGATGTCATCAGGGTGTTTATTACATGCCAGCTTACAATGCCACTCTGAGCAATACCCAGATAGCACAGCTGAAACCATTCCTGCCCGGCTCAGAGACCAAATGTCCAGCTTTTCAGACTCCTGCAAAGGAGTCAGACTGATAAGACTCAACAGACAAGATATATTACTGTGCACAGGGTAATCAAGGATCCTTCCTTCTTCATTCGTTCATTTGTGGTGCGGATGGGAATTGGAGCCCTGGCTGAAGGAAAGATACATTTCTCAGGACAGACTGAGAGCACATTCTGACACAATCTTGTTATAAGGGCTCTTGTAAGCTCTGGCACCTCTATTAATTTTGGAAGAGGGATTGGAAGTGTTAGGCTATACAAGGTAACACTTAAATGGATAAGGCCAAGCACTTTTTCCAAAGCTGACTTCAGTGTAGAAAAGTAAAATCAAGAGCACCAGCATTAAGCCAGCCTTGTACTTTACTTAAGGTCTTGGCAGATCAACAAGCCTCTTAAACCAAAGGATGGGGCCATAGATGCTGGCACTGGCTCCAGCAGAGTCAGAATGCTTATAATTACTGCTGTATTCACAGACTAAACCACTCTAGGGGACTCCAGTCCTCCTAGGCTAGGCTGCTGTTGGCCAAATGTTGTTAGGGCTGCCCAGTAACCTTTGTATCTGGGGACTACAGAGTGCTAGCAAGACATATTCTATCACAATGACACCCACTCCCCCTCCTGCCCCCCATTTTATTGTTTCTCTCCTATAAATTCTATTTGAAATGGCAAAGATTAAGCAATCATTGCTTAATCTCTGCAGAGGAGAGGAGCAGGCCACTTCTGTAACCTAAATAAGGGAGGTGGAAGCATACCTGAGGTATGTAAAAGAGTCCCAGCAGATTGGCCACAGCAGTGGAGATGCCAGAGCCAGTTGCTCCCACGACTGCAATGGTGGAAGGGATATGTTCTGAGCAGTTACAGAATTCATCCAGGTTCAAGGAGTCTATCTTGTTTTGGGCCACAAAACTCAGTGTGGCCTCCAGGGCTTTCGAGACTGTATTGCAAGTGTCAAATATCCTATATCCCAGGGTCATGTTGGGAAGGAGAGTTGGGCTACTGTTTATTTCTTCTATGGCAAAGATCATAGCCTGGAGCCAGCGGAAGCCTCGGAAATTATACCTGGGGGAGCAAAAATAAAAACAAAATAGAGTGAGAAGGAGGGAAACAGAGCAGAGGAGACTAGGAATGAGGCAGAGTGAAAAATTCCAGGTACAAAAGGCAAAAGCAACTTATGCTATTTCTTGCACCCTACTAAAAATTTGGAAAATTTTGCTTTTGTATCTACTACAGAAGAGGCATGTTTTTGCTACAAGGTTTAGTTCTGGCTTTCAACTTTTCAGTTTGGGTTCTCACTCCAGAGGTAAACTTTTCTAAGTCCCCTAAAATCTGGGAAAGCTGAAAGACAGCGTGTCTGGAGTGATGACTCTGGCCTATCCCTTGTGCTCAGGACCCTAAACCTGATCTCATGATCCCTGAGGAAATGGATGTTGTGATCTTCTGACTGAAAGCTACACCTACCAGGTTTGCTTCCAGCCTCCTCTGACATGTTTCTGAATGCAGATGGCAGTGTCTGCTAAGCCTGCATCGATGCTGCCTGGGACTTGGGCTCAGGGATACTCCCGGAGTGTGTCAGCTCCTCCTGGCTTTGGGCAGGCAGAGCAGGCTGAGCCACAGCACTGGCATGCTGCTGGATGCAGAGGTGCCCAGGAGCTCTGCTCAGGGAAATTCGGCCTCATATTTTCAGCTTTCATTTGTGAGAGAGAGCACAGTCAGACTGTTCATACCAGAGATCAGAGACATGCTATAAATATAAGTCCTAGTGCAAACTGATAACTTGTTAATTGGATACTCCAGTGCCTTCACTGAAGGAGTAACTTTTCTCATTGTTATGCTTCTCTCACACAATTTGATCTAGACACGAACTCAGAAGATGCCCTCGGAGCTGGTCTGTGACTGAAACTGTTTTTTGAAGCCTCTGCTTTTCTCTAAGATGGAGAAGCTGAGTTTTCTGATTATCTTGCACCTGTGCCTAGATAAGCAGCTAAGGCAGCAGATAAGGAGCTAAGGCACAGCTGAAATTGGTGGCCACTGTCCTGTAGGAGCTGGCAGTCACTGTTTATGGCATCAATAGCTTGGCAGTGGAAGAAGCTGAAGCATGATGATTACTTATCCATAAAGGAGAGAAACTTCTTCGTAGAAAGCATCAGCAAGAAAGTATCTTTGATACATATCATTCTAAAGTTTTACTGTGTTTCCCCTAAAAAGTTGTCCTGGCAACCAGTTGTGTGCCTGTGAGGCTGCCGTGTTTTAGGGCGATGCAGCTGGAATGGCAGAATCTTTCATCAGCTGAAACCTGCCCTTCCTTGGAATGCACTGTGTCTCAGGACACCAGCTAGTTTGCAGCTTTGTGCTGAGTTGCAGGTGAAAACAGGAAAGTGTCAATGCTGTTATGCTTGAGATACACTGGGAAAAGTGACAGGCTCCAAAACTGGAAAAGCCTGGGGAAATAGCCTGCCCAAGAACAGATGCTATACGAAATAGTAAATTGTAGGTTTCACATGATTTACATTTTGAAATGCTTAGAGAAATGTTTCCATTACTAAGGTGAAGATTTCTAAAGATAAGCTTCATGAAATCACAACCTTTCAATCTCTGAGATATATGACCTAAACATTTTTAATGGCTGGATTAAATTAATTGCTTCCAGAGTTGATGCTAGCTATGTCTGACTTTTTCAAAGCTGAATGAACAAAGCCACATTACTTCCATTCCAGGAGTTTTATCTGATTCATCTGGATCAGAATTTCTAATGATATCACATCTAAGGTTTATCTTTAAGTCTTAAAAACTTCATTTATTCAACTTGACTTCACCTCTCCAGACATCTTTGGCCAAGTTCCAAATGAGGTTCAGCTCTGAGGTTATACCCCAAAGCCCAGACAGCACAGTACAGATCTCTTCAAGTCAAAAAGTTTGAGTCCTTAGTTATAGCTAATTAATAACTTGTTACCAAAGGGACAGTTACTCTTTTAAGATTAGTCTTTAGATGCATGGGACCGTGGGTTACTGACAGAAGTAATTTGGTCATTTAGAATATATTTTGCTCTAGTTCCAAACCATTAAGGAATGAGATGTAACAAGAGAGCTGTGAAATAAAAGGGCAAGGCTCAGAGGGATCGAGTCAATGAGTGCTGTGTACAGGAAAAGATGTGTTGGGCACACCATGTTGCTCCACGTGCTCAGTAATGCACATTGGGATAAATAGAAACAAGGAAGGGTGTTGTGACACTTCTTTTTAAAAAGCTGCACATGTTTACAGATATTTTTAATATGAATAGGATTTGAAGCAAAGAGCCATATTCAGGCTCCTCATGTAAAAGAGAAAAGTCGGATCACATCTATATTTAAAGGGGAGGCTACTGAGAACCTAGGAAGTTCAAAGATGCCACTGTGCTACTGGGAAAAGCTTCACACATTTGAGTATATGTAAAAGCAAATTTAAGCCTGCTCACTTTAAATGATACAAGTGAAGTATGACAGAAAATTATTTTGCCTGCTTGAAAGAATTTGGCTTTATTTTTTTAAAATGCTACAAGGTGGTATCTTCAGATGGTATCTTCGAAAGCAGTGATCTGGATCCTCTTCACTTCAAAGAAATGTTTGGCATTTAATTCAGTAAATGCAGATTAAGACCAATGATACAGAGTTGCTTTTTTCTTCCTTTCTGACATATGCTCCTGATTAGTGTATATTTATAAGGCCTCTAGTTCAGGTACTTGCATTTGGAATGATTTTATTTTGGAGGGAAAGGAGAGTAGAGGCTGTTTTCTGGGAGCTAGAATCCAAAATATCTTTGAAATACTTTCAATAATTTATCTTAAACTAACCTAGGCAAGAGACTTGAGTTTCTTTTCACTTGCACCTCTGCTGACAGCAGCACGAGCAGCTCAGGAGGAAGGATCAGATGGGATGAAGACAGCGCTCCTCACTCTGTCTTCTCTAGCACTTGATAGATCTTCAGACAAGCTGTCATTTTGTCACCTGAGACAGCACTGCATCGGTTCCGTAACACAGATATGGTCAGACAAAGGCAGTGCTGCCAAACTCCTCCAAATAAAGCAAGATCCTTCCAATTTCGATGAATGGATATTTTGTGGACAATTTCTCTCCCATTGTACTGTAAGATCCCAGCAAGGGGCTGCAGATAAGTTCCTCTTTGCTTGGTGTGTACGTGAGGGGTTGCTAAGAGCAGCCTTTGAACCTGGCAGTAGGTCCCACTGATGCAGCTGAACTCCTGTGCTGTGCTGCTGCTGTGATTAATATGATCAGTCACTAGAATGCTCTGTCAACCATGCAGAAATTTGACTGGTAATTTACATGAAGAAGCTGTACAGTATTTACTATCAGAAACAAGCTTTCATTAGATTTCCAGAATATTTAAATAGCCACTGGTATTTTCTTGATGGAAAAGAAGCAGCCTCCAAAGCTCATTTTCGGCTGTATTACTTTACAGGTATGTTCACTTAGTCTTTGCATTTTGTGAGATGTGGTGCTATGAAAAGTGGCCATTAAGCTCTAAATGAGAGTTTAATGTAAATAATTCAGGGCCCACAGGTGTAGAGGGGAATTTTTATTTACACGCCTTCCTTAAAGGTTTTCCTTCTGATACTTGTTCTTCCACCTCTCAGAGTATTCAGCCCACTGATCTTTCTATTCCCAAGGAGAAGCACAAACTGGGAGAGAGAAATTGGAAACAATACCTTGCTGTAACTGTCCTCTGCAGAGGACAGCTGTGCAGCAGACCAGTTTGCTAGAAACTAAACATGCCTATCAAACTGTGCTCAGGATGGCTTAAATGTCCCAGTCAACGTTTTAAAACAAGCAATTTGCCCCCTATGCAAATTAAGGGGCAAAGCTGCCTGCATGGTTTAAGCTCCCCATAGCTCCATCCCCTGTTTGTTTGCATGGTTTGGTTTTAACAGCTCTTACTGTCTGGATCCAGCAGGGAAATTGGTCCTGATCCTTGCTAGTCTCCATGAAGAAATAATTCACAGCCTCATGTGTATTCATGACCTTCATTTATCACACTTGCAAGGTACTAAGCAACGGAATATGAAGAAAAAAAAAAAAAAAAAAAAAGGAGAGAAAGTGATGTGAAAGCTCTGAATAAAGCTTTCACTTACCCCCCTCCCCCATATCTAACAGGTACTTATACTCAGAAATGGTGGCAGAGCCTGCATATACCTTTCAATCATGCCAGCACTCCTCTTTCTCTATTGGTTGCATGCACATACTAATTTCTCTGTCCTCTCTAGATTTCCAGTACATTAATTGCATGCTATCATGTCTACTACCACTTTTACTTCTAAGCTATGCAAGGGGGAGACTTTCATTCGTTTGTTGGATTCCTGCAGTCATAGGTATAATGATTTGCTTACCACTCTTACAATCAAGGACTATGGGTGAGAGGAATTATGCAGAACAAAGAAAATAAAAAATTAAAAAATTACAATTCAGAAGGTGAATGGAAGAGAGAGAAAATTATCTAATTACATCTTAGGGAAGAGAAATTCCTAATACCTTGTTGTACATTCAGGTCTGCAATGAGATTAGCAAATACATCTGCAAGGGCTAGAATTAAAATTCTGTTCTCTCAGATGGACAGAGAAGCTCAGTCTGCTAAAGACTCCTGGAGCCATGCTCTGTGAAGTCTTGCACTATGATGTGGGGACAATGTCTTGCCACAGTTTCACAGCTTGAAAGCTTTGTGCCACAGTGTGGGACCTTGGCTAGACTGATGATCAGAATAAAAGAAAACTCCTAATCTCCCTGAAATCAAGAAGGGGCAGAGAAATCAGGTTATGAATAGGCCTATGGGGGTGCTGACAGGGATGGAACAGGGGGTCGGGGCTTGCTTGTGCTGTGCTCACTCTCTGCCTCCCCCGCACACATCAGATATGCATCAGCAAACGTGATAAGGAAAATTGCTGCAGCAGCACCTGAGGCATACAAAGACAGGAAGTGTATTTATATCAAATGCAGGATCCTTGATTGCTGAAACAACAAACAGGAAACAAAACAGCTCTCACTTTGTGTATTCCTATCTGACATTTAGTGTGGCAAAATCATGGGTATGTTTTCACTTTGGGCTCTACAATTCAGCGTTTAGAGCACAAGGATGCAATATCAGTAGCAACAGCACAAAAAGAATGCGGAACTGATTGTTACCGTTCCCTTTTCCTTTCACTGCTGAGTTATGTATATTGTTTCTAAATAATCATATGCCAGATATGCACAGTAGGTTCAGGCCAGTAGGTTTGCTGAGCTGGAGAGAAAGGTGCTGAGCCACAAGAGCATGAAGAACATAAAAACTGAGAAAGTGGAGAGAAAACTGTCCTGTTCTTTTTGAGAAGCCCCAGCTGTCCTATCCATTAGGAAGTCCAGTTTGGGAGCATAGGTATAGCACTGAACACAAGTAAATGTCCAAACAGCACTGATCAGATTGAACAGTCCTCAAAATAGAGAAAACCACATTATCTTAAGTTGTTTGATTCTGAACTCTAAAACAGACCACCCACAGGGTTTCAGTGGGACCCTTAGGTCTTGTCGTGGAGCTTTTCATACAGTCTGATGATGTGCTGCTGCAAGAGAGCATGAGGAGAGAGAGAGGATGCTCATTATCCCAGAGTGACCTGGGTCTAATTTTCTTATGTGACATGAGATATATTTTTCTACATAATAAAGAGATTAAAAACTGTATGCAGCCATCTGAAAAGGGGGGTGGATATTAAACTTATTAACCTCAGCTTTGAAAAGATACACCAGTGGTGGAGAAGGCTTAGAGAAGGGCAACAAGGGCAGGTAAAGGTATGGGACAGATTTAGCAACTTTGGTTTGACTGTGTACAGTCACATTTGTGCTTCCCTATGGATTTCTATCTAATTTGCTAATCTGTGGATTTCCCACCCTACAGAAGTTTTTGACATTACAAAATTTTGGAGACCTACTTTGTGAAGAAACTGGAACCTATTTTTTTGTCTGCCCCTAAAAATATAAGTTTGATAATCCCAGACCAGTCAGTTGCCTGGAACCTAGGAAACTCACATGTGATAATGTAGGATTTTAACAAAAAACTTGAAGAATGTATTGAACTCCTAGAGTCAGCATGCACAACCCTGCCAAAGATGCCTAATCTAATGCCTCATCACAGGGTCCAAAACAAAAAATGACTACCATGGCTGTGTTGAGAGATTTCTGTACAACTCAAGCAGGAGGAATTTTCTGACTTCAATACTGCTTAAAATAGAAAATCCTTTCAGAAAAAATATCTGCTCTCAATTTGATGTGTACCAAAAACAAGGAATACACACAAACATTCCCATGTATTTATTACCTCCATCATTAAAACCTGATGACCAATCTCAAAGTCTTCTCAATCCAATCTCTGTCCATTTGCAGGAATTAAACATTTCCTGCAAATGGACAGTTTCTGGTAAAGATGTGTACAATGAAGCAACTTCCAGTTACTTCTGGTCCAATCATCCCCTTGTTCCTTTTGTAGTTTCTACTACCTCTGCAGCTAGATCTCTGACCTTCATTCTTTCTCCAACTGCACTATACTATCAACTCTCAATTTATCCAACTCCCTCAAGGATATGTGCCACAAATGCCTGCCTCTGCAGACATATTGTTTCTCTTTTGCACCTATATCTTCTACCTTCATCACCTGCTTACAAGGATAAAAAGAAGAGGGATTTTATCCAGGCAAATTTTAGCTGGAGGATACCTTTTAGCAGATTGAACACCACCCAGAAAGATCTCCCATTGTATACTTAGAACAGCTAGTCTGGCTTTTCAGGATTTGCCTGTTTTTGGCAGTGCTACCTCATTAACATGCCTTTTGGCAACCACACACTTGTAGTACTTGTGGCAGAACATTTTCCAGACATCTCTTCCAATAATGTGACCATGTCAAGACAGCCACTGAAGCTGACCCAGAGTCGATAGAAATGAAAGCTCTTTAGTTTGCAAATATCTGCATTGTCCTGCCTGCCAGCTGGAGCAGGAGAAAAAGAAACTAGAGCTGAAAACATCTATTGCTTTCCAGCATTCCACTTTTAAAATTATGCATGATAGAGAAAAAAAAATGCTGAAAAGCTGGCAGAGATTCTTGTTCCATGAAATAGACATTGCACATACTTTCAGTTCACCACTTTCCTGTGCACACACAGAAGAAGCCAAAATAATCCCTGCTTATTGACACTTGTGTGTGCTCCCTATGACAGATTCTGGGGATGATCTCATTACCTAGATAGATGTATCTTGCTCAGTGTCTCAGTGGGAAACCACACCTGAAATCTGTAACAGGAACACTCTTGGCCATCCCTCATTGCCACCTGCAACAAAACTGTACTTGATCCCCAGCCTAGGATGAGAGGTCCAAATAATTCCAGATACACAGTTCCTCACACACGGTAATAGAAGTCCCATAACAATGAAGTGTTTTCTCATGCATTGTCATGACAAAAATCCACATGAATTTCTTATATTTTGTTTATATGATGTTCCAGTTGCAATCAGTTTCTGTCACACTTTCCACTTGTTCTGTGTGTTATGTGCAGCCTTGTAATGTTAAAAATTCCTCACATTTCATCATAAAAATTCCTACACTTCAATAATAAGAGAAACTGTTTTCATGTGCACTTCTCCCTCCAAGGTTAACTCCCAAACACTTAAGACAAAACATAGATGTGTTGTTTAAACAAAAGAGAAGAACCCTGGGTAAGGAAATCCTGGTCTCAAGTTTGGGACTTTTACAAAGTCCAAAAGAGACATTTATGTGTCCTTCACTGGCGTTTTTCAAAAGCCCTGACATATCTCACTTTAACATTTTCACTTGTTTAGGCAACTTAACAGTTTGTAAAGTCTTAGAAGATGACAGGCAGAACTGGACAAAAAATTGATTTCTAGCTATTTGGCCATGCATTACTTTAATCAAATGAACTAAAGGGCACTATTGGTAATTTTCTGTCCTGCTAGGGAAGTTAATTTTCTAATAACATTCAAATGTTCCCTGTGAATGGCCAGATAGATGAGTATATTAATGTTTTGGCAGCTTCAGATAGTACAAAGTTTGCCCTCTTTTAGTGTCCAAATAGTATTTATGTTACTGTGTAACATACAGACTTGTTTTTTCCATTATTTACATCATACCTTCCAATCGTAAGCATCACATTACAGACCATATTTACACAATTTAAAGTCAAGAAATGTGAAGACTTCCCCACCAAAACTTTTTATTTTCCCTTTTACCAGCTTACCTTATACACTCCACTGATTCTGGCCTTGATTTTAAATCCTGATCTTTAGCAGCCACTCCAAAATGAATGGGGAACAGTCCTCCAAGAATAATGTCTCCCTTCTTCTGTGCCCGTTGGTTTGGCCCATAGGCAACAGTGCTCCAGGTAAACAGCAAAAGAATCAAGCAGCAGCTATATGAAGTCATTGTTCCTCTTTTCACCAGGGGGTTATCGGATGCAAAATTGGAAAAGATGATGTAAGAAAGCAGATGTCAAAGCTTTTCCTTTCCTTAATACAGCACAAAGAGGATTTGGGGCACATGTTGGCAGGGAGATAAGCAACAAGGTGGAAACCACAGTGCTGGTGTTTCTCCCTCTGTCTTCTCCATTGCAAAAAAACAATTCAGCTTCCCTTCTTCCTTCATAACTGAAGTATTATGGTGAGCCCATTTCTGAGAACTGTAAGAGAAAGATTTGAAAAGTGACTCCAGCTATACACCAGGACCCCTCATTGACATGTCAAGCCAAGTCCTCAATTTGCCCCTGAAGCTGCCCCCACTCAACAACCCACCTGGGACATATCATAACCTTGGCAAAGTCATACAGGCACCCTGGTGACACAGCCACACCTCCTCAAACGATGTCAGGTGCCTGATTCTCTGCCACATACCTAAGGTGGGTGGCTTAATCTTCCTATGGTTCTGTGTGACTCTGGTCATAGCAGATGCTGTAAAACCTGTGATCTGATCAGTGTCCATGAACAGAGCAGACTGTGAGACCTGGGTGGGCAAGTGGGGAACAAGGAAGTATCAAACGCAGTAAGAATCAAGTCTTTCTCTTAAGCAAATAACCATAATAATCTTTTGGTGTTGGTCCATCATCTCCTATCCATTGATCATTCTTAACCCTCTGCCTTAGAATTTATCCTTGATAAAAATAAAACAAGGTCACCAGAAAGAGTTCTTTTACATTGAAAGGGAGAATGAACTCCAGGGAAGCATTTGAAACCAAGATTTGGAACTTCTCCATAATGAGTCACGAAGGCTTGAAAAGTTCGGCAATCGTGCCTTTGTAAGCTTAGCTATAGCAGACTTTGAAGCCTGTTTCCTGGGGATGAAAAATACTGCAGTGTCTCCATGCTCAATACATTTTCCCTGCAGCATGTCTACAGGGCTCCCAAATGAAGAACTAACTTAATTATGGCATATGAAAATGGCTATGGCTACAGGAGAGGAGATAGCACAGAAAATTCACAATGAACAGCTCTTCAGCCTATTTGAAACAGGTCTAAAAGCTAGTAGTAAGAATCTGAAGTTAGTACAATTTATAGTAGAAACTAGGCATACATTGCTAATCCTGAGGACAATT